ACCTAAACTTAAAAGTGGAATATCTCGTCAACGGGTTGACGGAAATCAACAATTTTAACACTAAACTTTATCTAAACTAATACTCCATCTTTTTATGTATTTTTTAGTAAACGTTCTCATTTGAAAAACCCAAGTTAATATCGTCACTGGACACTTCTTAAATGTTGTGAAAAATCTGAGTGTTCGAAAATATTGGCTTTAACTATACTTAACAGTTCCAAAAACCATAATTTTAACTATAAAATATTTAACAAAAAAATGGGGTGAGCACACTTAATAAATCACCCTGTATACAAATGTGAATAATAATATACCGTAACATACTATAAAATGTTCAGTTATATAATATACAAGTTGAAAATTGCCGGGTGTAATCTTTTCAAAAACACAAATCAATAAAAGACATTCAATTTAACAAGTCTTCCCCTTTTCATAACATGTACTTGTCACAGTTAATCGCTGTTGCCTAGCTTTATATTTTTAAAAAAAAGCTATTTAATTTGTCTACGACCACCAAATTAAATAATAATAACTATTTATTTCATCTGTGTCGCAATGTGACCCATAAATTAACAACAAAAAACTTCAATTTTTGATTCAAAAATACCAAAAACCTAGTGACAGCCACACATTAGGGATTGAATTTTGAGATGAGATATAAATTAGACAACGACCTTCCTCTTGTTTTGAATGTCAAGTGTATAAAGTTTTATTAAGATCGGAATAAAACTTTGAATTTACAGTATAGCGGATAGTATAGCCAGATTTTAAATTTTTTATACCTCTACGATTTAAATATTGTCGTTCACTTCTATTGAAAATTCTGGATACGACACTGTATGATATGCATATGAGTCCCATTTATCAATAAAACATTTAGGTAAATTTAAATTTTAGATTTCGAGCGTAGCGAGGAAGCTATGGTTTTTACTAAGATTATTATTTTTTCTTTCTTTGTTCTAGTTTGTAGACACGTTTTTTCTTAGTGAAATTGCTCCGATTTTTACGTGTAGCAACTTTTCTAAAAGCTCAAGTTATATAGATGGTGTTTTATACAAGTTATTTTTTGATTTGATTTTCAACGCCATTTTTTAAATAATAGCACTTAAGTGGGAAAAAAAAACGTAGGAAAACATACAATTTCACGATTTCATTATTCTATAAAAACACGGACGACGTTTTTAACCAGAAAAATGATTTAATCGAAAAATCTCAAAACACCTTTTTTGTTACCTTTTTGATTTACTTTCTTACAGTATCATCGACAAACTTTTTAGCCACTTTTGAGCTTTTAAGAAATTTGAATTTTCGGGAATTTTTTGTTGTAATTTGGTTATAAATAAACGTAGAGACCTGAAACTTAGTAATAATACTTATATTGAATTTACCTAGACGTGGTAAAATTTCCAAAATCAAATTTAAACGAAAATCGCAAAAAAAATACAGCATTTCAAATTATGTATTACCGAACTGTCCTTCGGAATCATCTTTCGTCAGCAATAGTTTATCTTTGCTTAAAGATATAAATGAAATAACCTTTTGTATCCTACCTTTCCAACTTCCCACTTACAACAATGGCTGCTCCCATCTTCAATATCAGCTTTTTTTTTTTTTCAATAATTATAATGTGGAAATCATGTGAAATTAATTTTTTTAATAAAATATTATTGTTATTATTATATATTATATATACGAGTACATATATATATATATATGTATATATAATATGTATACATTATAATCGTTTAAAACAAAAAAAATTGTATATTTTACCTAGGAAGAAGTGCTGCATTTATGACATCAGCTCTATACTATAATTGAAATTTCACCAAACTCCTTCCTGCACTATCCCACTTTTTATAAACGGTGGTAACAAAACCTTCAATTCTTTTTTTGAGTGATACTTTAAAATCCTCCGGCATCGTAGCCTATTATTATTAGGTTGAGGTACCTTAAAGAGGTCGTTTTTCAATTTTCCCCGAAATTTTCTCAATAAATGTGAAAAACTGGAAAAAACACGGAAAACGATGAAAAACGTATGAAAACGGGAGAAATCTGTACAACATTAAACAAATATTATTAAAGAAAATATATAGAGCCTATTCAATTCATTTTACTATAAGATGGCATAATAATATATTGTTAATAAAGCATCACTATCAACTGAACTCCGCTCAAAATCGCTTTTTCGTAAACAATGGTTTATTGTAACTTACAGGTAAACATTACATTATCTATAACAGTAGCTGCACCCGTTCACATTATCCTATAACGTCTTTTTTTTGTGTGTTTTTTACTCAACCAAGCGGTTTTAATAGGGAAATATAAATTAAAAAAAGAGCTGATTCTGTTGATTTGGTGCGTCACTGTTGTAAGTGGGAAAACAAGAAGTTGGGAAGGTAGGATACATTAAGTTACATAATATGTGTCTATACGATAAGCCATTGCTAACGAAAAACCACTCTGAGCTATGCTCGAGTAAAACGCGTAGACAAATTTCGTTTTCTTTTCGTTTTACGTTTGTGTTGCAAAAACGTTTTCGATTTTTTTTCCGTGTATAAGTGTTACATGAATTGCTTAGGGGGATGCAAGTATGAGTGAACGCTCAACAAACAGGTTAAGCCTTTTTTTCTTCTTTTTATTGTTCATCGATAAATATTTTTAGCATCGGTGCCGATTTAGTTCTGATAACGTGTATAGTGATCAAAAACGTTTTTACTCCCTGCAGTAATAATGCCCTAAAAAATGTTGGCTCCTTGAGGACATCTCTAAGGTTGCTTCTGAATAAGGTTCATGTGGCCACTGAATCGTGCTATAATATCTGTATGACTTCTTTCTAATGTAGTCTATTTGTCATTTAGCTTCTTGTCGACGACGACGACGACGGCAGGGAGTTTTATAATAATATTCTTTTATTATATTGTCATTTAATCCGAACGCCAAGCCGTGCCGTGCTGGACACATTCACGTCTTACTTATACACGACTATTATAATAATAATATAATAATGATGATGGCATTATATAAGCAGAATAAAAAATAGTAATAATTAACCATACACATATAATAGTAATAATAATAATAAAAATATGTTATTTGTACGTGTACTGTATAGACTGAATATTATATTAAATTCTCAAAGGAAATGTGCCACCGGTGCAGAAGCCTTTATATTATAATATCATAACAATTATTTTGAAATTAAACGCGTGTACTGTGAACCGGGTGAATCGGATTTTATATTAGGTAAATATTATGAGGGGAGACACTGACCTTTAACTTCCTACATGCGTTATAAATGTTAAAATGTTATTTTTATTATTTCGACGGTGTTCGAATATATGTAAGATACATGTACGGCAATATATAAAAAGTATAGAATTAAACAACGTTAAATAGTTAGTAAAGATGTGAATTTAATCCACTAAAAAACCTTAAGAAAAAAAACTCTGAAAATTCTCTGAGAAATCCTGCCCCCCTCCAAAAAAAAGAAAAAAAAACCACTTGAAATTAATTTAATATCCTAGAAGGTCGGTTCAAATACACTTAAATGTAATAACATACTAAACTAATATTATATGTAGGTACATTATTCGATCAATAAATGAAAAATTAAGAAAATCCAGAAATTGTTAAAAAAAACATATATATATATATATGTATTATTATTACTACTATATATTATATATTATGTATATTATTACTAAATGCATAAAATAAAAATCGAAAACTCAATTTCAAAACTGCTAAGTTCATATAATATATTAATACATTATTTGAATTAGGTACTTGTCTATTATAACACGTCTGTTCCATTCATGCGTTAACATTTCGTTTTTTCGTGAAGAATTTCTGTTATATACCTATATTTACATTATTATTTTCACGACGACGACGGTAAAAACAATAATATTATCTCCGACAGTGCAGCATAAAATCAATATAAAATTAATTAATAAGGTATTTCTATTTTAATATTTACTCATTATTATTGATTGTAAAACAGACGAAATCTCAAAATCTATTTCTGAATTAAAATTAAATTCTCATAGTGAAAAATTAAATCGACAATACCGAAAAAATAAAATAAAATAAATTACACTAATTATAGAATAATTACACTGTTATCACACGCCTGGAAAATACTTCTTAACGTCATCAAAAAAGACTAAAAGAGAAAATAGTAGAACAGCTTAGAGAAGACCAATTCGGATTCAGGCGAGAGAGAAGAACTCGAGAAACGATCTTGGCTATGAGAATAATTCTTTAAAAAAGACTGGATTTAAATCACCGACACTGATAGATATAAATTGAACCATTAAGGAAGCTAAGGTAAGAAAAGGTGTGAGACAAGATTGTCCCTTGTCACCTTATTTGTTCAATCTATTCATAGAAGAAACAATCGAAGAAAAGATAGAGTTAAACAGCGGTGTTAGAATAAATAGAAAACAAGTACATAGTATACAATTTGTGGACAACATTACTTTGGTGGCAGAAAGTGAAGACAATATGAACCTAATGCTTTACACCTTGTCCAGGATTATGGATAAATTTCATATGAAAATAAACGCTATCAAAACAAAAACAATGACAGCACGATGAGATCAAATTTATATTATCTACAAAATTAAACAACATTGTAATTCAAGAAGTCGATCATTTCTGCTAGTCGGAAAACACAATTACATATAATAACGAATCAACCATTGATATCAAAAAAAAATAAACTCCTAGCTAAACAGACATTCATGAAGAAATAGTCTATTAACTAGAAAACATTTCAACACTTCCTCAAATCATATCTGGCTGAAAGACATTTTCGGGTCAAATACGAAGAAGCGATAACTAATTGGAAGAGTATATCAGCTGCAGTACCTCCAGGTAGTTTTATACCTACTCTATACAGCTGATATTCCAACTAACAACAATACAATGATAGCTATGTTCGCCGATGACTCGGCAATACTATCAACAAGGAAGGACCAACAAGCTACGACTGAGATCCTACAAACGACAATCAACACCGTTTACAACTGAACGAAACGATGGAAAATAAAAATTAATGGAGATAAGTCGATGCACGTTAACTAAACCTTACGTAAAACCACACACATCCCAAGCACGCTAAATCAGCAGATAATTCCGCAAAATGACTCAGCGAAATATCTAGAAATGCACCATGACTCACGACTTACCTGGAAACATCATGTACGCCAGAAAAAGTTGTAAATCAAACAAAAAATGCACAAACTGTACTGGCTAGTTGGACGGCACTCAGAGCTAGACTTAACCAGCAAACGTCTCTTGTATGTATCGATTTTTAAACCGATTTGGATTTATGGTATTCAACTGTGGGGTTGTGCCAGTAAGTCCAATATCGAAATAATACAACAATGCCAGAGCATCGCTCTTCGTACCATTTTCGCAGCATATCGGTATGAAAAGAACGACATCATCCACCACTATTTGAAAATATCATCCGTGCAGGATGAAATTACCCGGTTTGTTCGCAAACATGTAAGAAGACCGGAGTTTCACATAAATACGGCTGCCATACAACTCCTCGACAACTCGCAGGACATCAGACGTCTCAAGCGACTAAATCTATTTGATTTAGACTAATTATTAGATTAAAAATGAGGCTGCTTCACTGAAAATAAAACCCCACACAAGTTTTGTATATATATTACATTGTATGTATAAATACTTCTATTGATTTATATATATATAAAGATTCTTTTATCATTTAAATAAAAATAATGCCTTTAGGTAATTTAGAAAAAAAAATAAAATTCATTAGCCTATTTGGATTATAGATTCCCATTACTTATTTGGCATCCCTATTCGATAACACCAAAACAGAATCTAATTAAAATCCAAAATAACTTTATTAGATTTTTATGTTTTCAATCTCACATATATAGAACTCCTTATTCTCCTTATAATGTCACAATACATTTTTTAAATATTCCAATATTAGAATAGCGATTTATGCAGCTTAAACTAAATTTTCTATAAAGAATACTTGATAATTTGATTGATTGTCCTGAACTACTGCAAAATATAAACATTAAACTAAATCCAGTAAACAGTCAAAATACAAATCTTGATTATTTTGATAAATATATATCAACATTTATGATACATGTTTTGAGGATAATTTAATAATTATTATATCTTTTCTTATTTTTATTCATAAGCCTATTTATTATTTATTGTTATATTCTCAACTATTTTCTATTCACATATTATCACTACATTGTAGTAATATATTATTATATTATTATATTTAAAATTGTATTATACATTTTTATTATTATTATTATTATAAATAGCTAAAAATAAATACATTTCTGTATACTAAAAATGCCCAGTCTTCTTTTGATAATTACAAGTACAAAGGACCAGAAATACAAATAAAAATTTTTTTTTTTTCATAAAACAAAAACATGGATTTCGTCCAAAAAAATCTAATACGATATCATTTTACCCGCTCTGAGGTAACAGAATTATCAGTTAAGAAATATATGTTCTTGATAAGATTTCGAGGAACGATTGACGTTGTTGTTTGTAATAAATAGAATCTAAAGAAAAACCTTAATCCTAGCTTATAAGTTATATTTTTAATTATCATATGATATTAAAAAAATATAAATCTATAATTAATTATTAAATAATGTTTATGAACTCACAGCTCAAATACTAAAACATTGCAATATTAATAAAAATGTTGGATCCACCGTACGCGTATTTACAGACCCTTCCAGAGTTCAGACAGAACCGAAACGTAACCGTGTTGGCTTTAGGAGTTTTCGAAACGTAACCTATACTTATTAGTCCAAACTTGAAACCATGAGGATGCTCCCAAAGAAATTGAAGTGGTCTAAGTCGGAGGCGTTTCTTTGTGTCCGAATGGTACACAAAAACTTCCAATGACCCAGCAAGGTAAGATTTTGCTTATTGTGTGTCCTTTAGAAAATAAACAGTAGGTTAAATTAATAAATTTTGTGTTGACTAGTAACAAAAAATTATATTTTACATAGTGAATATTCTCACTGGTGAATGAAGGAGTAACTGGTAAAAGTCCCTATTAAATAATAAAATAATAGAGTAAAAACAAAATTATTAAAATGGTTAATACTCGTCAAAATGTAAAACACGACTGTGATATATCTGATAATGAATTTTTAATTCGAAAACGGTCGTATAACACTTATAATTCTCTAGGCGACTCATTCATTTATTTATTTTATTTTTATGTATACATTTTTTATTTATATACTTATTTACTATATTTAAAACCTATCAGTGTGTCCTAGTCGATAAAAATCAACCACGGATTATGCCGTATTTTCATACCATTCGGTCCGAATTCGAATAGGGTCAGTAAGTACGCGACCCGACGAATGGTATAACATTCGATAATTACGTACCCCTTAATCTTAGTTATATTGTTAATTTACTATTATCTAAGTAGATATTATTTTATTACATTTCCGTATTTTAATTATAATATAATATAAATTATATAATCACAGTTTGTAATTATTATTGTAATTTATTTAAGACCAATATAATAAAAGTCTGTCCGCAACCTTCGAACATTTATGACATAACTGCTGTAGATAATATTATTATATGAAATATGACGTGGTTTCATTAATTTTTTTTTCGTATTCACAACTTATTAAATTTAATGCGGTAGTATAAATTATAAAACCCCATAAAGTGTTATAATATATTAAATTAAGTAGGTATATTATATTATATATATTTTTAAGTTTTATCAGGAAAAAAAATGTCTCCTTAGATGATTCGACATTATTAATATGTAATATAATAATATTGTCGAATATTGTATTAAATATTTTTTAAATTAGCGTGTGCATGTGCTTTTGTCCGTTCTTATCAATAAATATTATATACTTAATTGTCATAATTTATAATAATAAAATATGGTAGGTAACGCACACGTCATATTATGATGCAATGAATTTCATTTTATAAAATATATCTACGCTGCGACGACGATGACGCGTCGGTAAATTACAAAAACACTTTCGTTATTCATTCCAAACAAATAATATCTAATAAATAGAAATAATTTTATAATATTATTAATTTAGACGAGTATGCGTGTAAACAGGATATCACGGAAAACGTTCCTAATAATATAGTAAACGTGCAGTAATTGAAGCGATGGTGTCATTTCAGTAAACATTTGTTATACATATTATAAGCTTGCGCACGAGAAGGGGAGGCGAGGGGGGCAGCTACCCCATCTGCAAGCTAAATTTTTCTTCCAAAAACTGTGAAATTTCAATTATATTAAATTTGTTAATTAAATTAATGATTTATAAAATTAAAATACTTCTATCAAAGGTACTTTAAAGAAGTCATTTTTTGAAATTCTTTCTAATATTTAAGACAATCAGAAAAAACCTGATTCTTTAGGTTAAAAAAGATTGAAAGATTAAAAGGTTGTCATTGGCAACCGTTTTTATTTATTTTTTGTTATTATTTTATTATTTTGTTAAACAAACATTGTTATCATGGAAATGCACATTGTTGTAATAATTTTACCATAATATGACATAAAATATAATTAATATATTGTTGACAAAGAAATACTATCAACTGAACTTCGCTCAGAATCGTTTTTTTGTTAGCAATGGTTTATCGTTGTACATTAAATTCCCGTCTGTATCTTGCCTTCCCAACTTCCCACCTACAACAGTGGCTGCACCCATGTGCGAAGTATGTCCGCCCTTTTTTTTTGTTTTTCTGTTTGTGAACAACTTTCTACCAAAAAACTTGCTTCGAAGTATAGATGGTAGCACCTTTTCTCTCATTTATACATTGAAGAGATCATTTTTCGATTTTCCTAGAGGTTTTTAAAATAATTGGAAAAAACTCGAAAGAAAATTATAGGTAAAAAAACGAATATTTACGGCGCGCCGCAGTGTTACCGTTTGGTGCTAAATGTTGAAAAATAAGAATAGTAATTAGATTATATTGCAAATATTATATATATATATATGTACTGTTTTTAATTTCCTAAATAAATATATTATCATTAAAATAATATATTATGTATGTATAATATCGATTTAGAAAAAGTTGTAGATTTATTTGTTGGATTTAAAAATCGTCGGTATTAACCTTAAGTATCCTCTTAATAATCTTTTAAATGAAATTAATTTAATTTTCAAAAGTGTTTTGTTCGTGTAAAAATTATACATACCAATTAATAATAATAATGTGAATACCTATTGTATGTTTTTCTTCATTTTTTTTTTTACTGCGTTTATCATCTTTAATGTTTGTATGCATTACTTATTGGTTTTTATAGGTAAAGTATAAATTATTTATATTTTAAATAGTTGTTTACTATTAATGTTTATTGCGATTCATAATACATTGAAAAAATGTATGGCAGAATAATTTATATATAGGCTTGCTTGAAACCTCGCACACCCAAAACAAACTAAAAAGACGTCCCTGCCATTTTTGAGCTAATTATAGACATTTTAGTTTTGCAAGTTTTGTCCATAATTTTTATTTGGTAGGTACACTATGGATAACATTTTTAGACTAAACAGAAATGCTTAAAATTTAACAGGAGGTTCCATAAATGTCTTTATTGTAAAAGAAAATTTTAATATCAAATTTTAACGAAAATCGTAAATATTACTGCCTTTCAAAACATGTATACCGAATTTCACTCCGAATCGGCTTTCGTTATCAATGATTTATCATTGGTTACAGGTATAAATTAAACAACTTTATGTATCTCACCTTCCCCACTATCCACCTACAACAGTGGCGAACCCGTCCCCAATATCAACTCTTTTTTATTTATAAATGCCTCTTTTGTTGGTGATGACGATAACAATTTAATAATCCTAATTTAGATAATAATTATGTAAGAAATACTCCCCAAAACCTTCAGTGGACGTAGAATGATAATTTTCTATGTACATAAATATTTTGAGCCCAAACTGTCAACGTTTTACTGAAGACAATTTATTTAAGTAAGTGATAGTGAATATTTTTAATAAAAACTAGTAGTAAAACTGATATTTGTTTAATTTTTTAGTAAACTTTTAAATTAATTTTTATATACATTCAATATTTTTTTTCGCCTTTTTCACATTTTTAATGCTTTTTTTATTGATAATATTGCCTTCAAATCCGAACCCTACAAATAGTTAACAACCAAAATAATATTAAATTATATTACATATTATAATATATAATATATATTCTGCCTCCTCCCTGCCAACAAGGTCTGTGCACGCCTAT